TAAGAAGAGAGAACACTTTTCAACATAAATACTTGGGCACTGGAAGTACAGTTACCATCATAAGAAGTTCCTACAATGTTGCCACTTTTATAATCAAAATATTCTTTTATGTGTATTTCATCTAGCATTATAAGGACAGTTTTATCGTCTTCATTTAAAAATTTAAACTTTTGTTGGATATACTTTAAAAAGTATTCATCGGATTGTTCGAACTGCGGACTAATATTTGATTTTAAGCAGATGTTTCTTATTGTGTTTGGATGTGGTAAAATAATATTGCCACTTTTACGTACAAATCTATATGCATTAGGGGATATTGTATAAATTAAGGAAGCAAAAATTAAAGTTTCGGCAGAATACCTGTATGCATGTTTATCATCGCCTATGTAAGAAAGTTGATCGATAATGAATAAAATTACATCGTTGCATACACTTGTTACATTTAAAAGGGATTTTAAAAATTCTTTAACAGTATTTATAATTATTTTTACATCTTTATCCGTTGGTGGTGTATCCAAAGCTAATTTTTTTAATTCATTCAAAATATCATCTATTGTATCAATAGCAACAAGCTGATGTGGAAATTTAAAGTTTTTTAAAACTTTTATTTCTGTTTTTTTAACATAAGCTTTTACTTCACAATTGGAATCTATGTATAAAGAGATAGTTACTTCTGGTACTGGCTGAACATCTAATAACATGAAAAGAATGTAACTCTCACTTTTTATAATATTCCAGGAGTTCTTCGTATCTGGCAGCTTAGACTTAAGGTCAGAAAAAGAGGAAAATTTTTGTGTTGCATCATACAATTCTTGACGTTTTACATTTTCAGCTGTTGCAGCTTGAATACTTTCCATTTCCTTTCTTAATTTTCGGTCATCTGAAGATTCTCGATTACTAACAGCTGTGGAAGAGAAGTGCTTCGGTAAATTTGGATGGAGAGATGGTACTGCATTAGGCTTTAATCTATAAGTAAAAAGAAAATTAGAATATAATATATAACCAGAGACACAAATACTTGATTTTAAAATAAATTTTACTTCTTAATCTTTAGTTCGGCTTCTATGAGTAGGCCCGTTTTCTTATCATAGGCAGATGTAGTTGTAAGGAGGTCTTCTTCACTAAAATGTTTTTTACACACCTAAAAACAATTAAGAATAAGTTAAATCATGTTTAAATCTTTGAAGAAATTCCAAAATTTCAAATGCCAAGAGAATATATGGGAGAAATAAAAGGAAAAGAAAAATACTAGCATAATGCTTACCTTGCTGTGTTTTGTAGGACTGAAATGCTCTCTTTTAATGGTTGCTGTGTTTTGTAGGACTGAAATGCTCTCTTTTAATGGCGCGAATCCATTTTTCTCTCAATGCGTCATTTTTAGGGAAGCTAAAAACACTGACTTTAGGGCCATTTTTGTAATTCCCTCGACATGTGGTACACAACATGGATGAGGCATACCTTGTTTAAAATTTTGTAATAATTAATTACATAAGAATGACTTTCGATTACAAATATCCAAATCAAAATACTAGTACGCCTGACTAAAACAAACGAAGAAGAAAGTGTCACATGTCGCGGGGAATGATCGAAGTATGGTGACGTCACGAGGGGTTGATGACGCAGTTGGAAGGCCTTCTCATCTCGTAGGTCACGATCAATCCTACCATGGTATCCTTAAACAATAAGAATGCGATTACAAAAGGCGAAAGTACTTTTTTTTTCGCAATTACGTTTTATTTTACATAGAAATATTAAAGTATCTAAAAAATAAGTTGTTTCTGTTTTCCTGCTACAATTACAACATTTTATTAATGAATATCTATATTATATAAAAACATTTATATTTATATAGTTATGTTTTAAGTTTTTTTTTTATTATTTATAAATACATTTGTATCTTTTAAAAGATCCCATTCAAAATATATCCATGCTGGAACTAATTATTTTTATCTATGGATTGCCAAAGCAATGCCTTTTTTTTCATCCATAACTGTTAGTCTATTATAATGGAATTGATCTTCTGGTGAACAATTTCTCTGAAATACAGGCGACTGTTTACAGGTTAACTACTGTTCTCTTTTAAAATTCATTAATGTTTACAAAATATTTGTTAAAATTTTTTTATTTATTGGTTTTGTTGTTTTCTTTCCAGAATCGGTGATATAATTTTATTCCGCATCCTGAGGCCTTGGCTTTTATCAGATTTCATTTTTAAACTTTCGTCATCTGGTAGACAGTTTTTCAAAAATGTAAATATTATTCATCGCTTTACTAGAAAAGTAAGTAATTCATCACCAATATAAAGTTTTTTTAGATTATTATGCAGTTTATTGCAAATACATATGTGCATTCGTATCTTTAGTCATTTGTGGTAGATTTTTTTTTTTTTTTTTGATTGAAAAACTAAATTTAAATGTACATACGAGTTAAAGTCGGTAATGTTACATACAGGAAATTCATTTCGTATTTTTTTTCCGATTTATATCCCCGTTTAATTGAAAGTTTTCAAACCGGAGTGAATAGAACCTAATTTTCAAAAGTTGCGATATATTATTTTGATGTTGCATTGTATGAATGAAACACTTATAGCTTCCAATTTTATCGACTCAAGCATTATATTATTTAAGTAAGCTTACATTACATGTGCTTTAACTATCCAGGTAACTAAATAAGATGCTTAAATAAGTACAAGTATAAAAGAGTATACTTTGAAAAGTTAAAAGTCTTGGCAGCTTCTGAAATATTGGTCCTATTAGCTCGCGTTTGGTCTCATTTAATTCAGCTGGCAAAAATACATAGAGTAAACTGCCTTACTTGTTAGATTGTTACAAACATTAAGTTGTTCTTTTTTAATATAAAATCTTTATAACTACTTAACTATTGATCTCTTTTATGCCTTATTTCACTAGTATACAAATTGCTTCTCTCTTCCCCCTATTTATCAATAATCGAAGCGCAATGTCCTGTAACTTTTTACCCTTAAAGTTTTACTTTTTATGTTCATATAAAATCTCAATTTTTACTGTACTGAACTTAATTGCGAGAAATAATATTAATAGAAAGTCAATTTAATGAATAATTTACTGATGAGCATTAGCTTGTTCAGTAAAAATATTCAATTTCGATTTAATAATAAGAACTAGCTTATACTAATCAATTTGATACAATGTTATACATAGGTTATAAAAGTAAAGAAATCTGAAATGATAGAAAATAATCATTTAGTAAAAGAGTGGAACGTAATTGCCAATGACAGCCCTTCAAATACAAGCCGCCGCAAAGCTTTTCTGGAATTACTGTTAGAGCATCACATTAAAGATCCATCATTTACGGAAGAAGACATTAGAGAGGAAGTAGATACTTTTATGTTTGAAGTAAGTTTTGTAATGTAGTATTGTATATGATTATGAAAGTATATGAATATTTATTCAAAGCTGTATTATTTGTTTCTGAGGTTTTTTCTTTCAAAGCTTAGCTCATGCTTTAGTCATAAGATAATATTAAAAAAGTAAACTGCATACAGCAAAGCCACCTTATTCAGAATATCTTTTTTATTTTTAACAATTTAAGAACGAAATTGATGAACTCAAATTTAGGTCTTAAACTTTTGTGTATAAAAGATCACAAATTTATAGATTACATACAGTGAACTCTCACTTATGCACCGGAGTAAGGGACCAAGAGAAAAAAGCGCATAAGTGAAAAACTTCAAAATTCTAAAACGCAACGTAAATTGCAGTGACAATCTGAATAAATATGTTTCTAAAGATAAAATTTTAATATTTATACTGTTTTGGTATTTACTATAATCATAGAAAGAAAAATTTAACATACCATAAGACAATTTATTTTCTTACAAAATAATCTTAATACATGTTTGTATTTGTTTTTGACGACGTATTTTAAAAACAGTTTTTTTCAGTTCATTTAAATGTGATAAGGGGGAGTTTCAGAAGCAAAATTAAATTGAAAATAGTCACGATAAGTGTCTAAAGCTTCTAATACTGCTGTGTGATTTGGAGGAACTTTATTCAACCTCGTCAGTATCATCCTCCACGTTCTCATCGTCCACAAGTTCTAGTTACCTAGATATAAATGAACAGTTCTTCACAAAAAATTTGAGTTTTATGGGAGGGGGTGAAGCATCACATGATAAATTTCTAAGAAAAGTACTTGACGTCATAATATACTGCACAATAAGTTGAACCTCCTCTTATTTACTCATGATGTCCATCAGACTGCAAGTAAGTAATTGCGGTTTCTTTCGTATTCCAGGTGTCTTCTTTTTCTAGAAAATAGCATGGGAGTAAAACGAACTAACCTCTGGACAAGAGGAATGGTCATTTTCTTAATGATGAATGGGCTTTCATTGTTGTTCGTGCAACAGATAAGACACACTATTCAAATTTCTAGAAAGAATGTCTTTCCAGAAACAGCAGTAATGAAAAGGTCACAGGGGGAAGAAAATTCAATGGGATATAACAACATATATTTCTTTTTATCTGTAACAAGGATTGCTTATTTGCTTCCTTTTTTAATTTGAAGCATTTTTTTCAGAAAAAGAAAAAAATATTTAAAGTTTAAAAAATTAAAATGCTAGCCTAGAATTTCGGCGCATAATTGAAAAATTTATTTTTAGAGCGACGCATGAACGAAGGATGTTTACCATTATTTTCATACCTTATGTACTGGGAGCTGTAAAAATCGTCGTATAAATGTAAAAGGTGCATAAAAGAGGTGGTGCATAAGTGAGAGGTCACAGTAATTTTTTTTTAGAAAAGTAACAAATATAAAAATAAGCGTTTGGTATATAACAATAATAGTCATTGTTGTGAAAACAAAAAAAGCTAGGATTGGTAGCTTTTAGTGATAAAATAAAATATATTATATTACACCATATTAAATTTTATTCTGTGTATCATATTTGTTTTGGAACATTTAATAAAAGGAAATGTTTTAGGAGCAGAAAGTTGTATTAAAATTTCTCTTTAGGGTCATGATACAACAGCTATGGCCATTTCTTGGGCATTATATTTCGTTGGATTAGATAAACACGTACAGGAAAAAATACACGAAGAATTGGATGGAATATTTGAAGGTGATAATGAAAGAGATATTGACCGTGATGACTTATTGCGTATGAAGTACTTGGAATGTGTCATTAAGGTATAATTTAATTCCAAGACTTTAATATCGAAATATTGCAATTTCTAAAAAATAAATTTGATTTTTTCATGTTTTGCTCTAGGAAACTCTTAGATTACATCCTTCAGTGCCTTTCATAGGTAGAGAAGTTAGAGAAAACTTCAAAGTGTGTAAGTAAAAAAAAAACATATATATACACCGATCTTACAAGGTATTTATATTGACAGTCAGTGAAGTAAAAATTCGGTAAGGAAATATTTTTTAAACTCTTCGAACACTACAAAACTTTACTGTTGGCTATCTCATTTAAGGGAATAAATAGCCCAAGAGTACTTACTTATTAACATATCATTTATTGATCATACACGATTTATGCAATAATTCCTTTTACTGAATGAATCAGCGTTTATTTGCTCCAGTTACAATATAAATTATGTAATATCGTTTAATTTGGTGCAGTAGCTTGTCACTTTTGCTCTAGAGACTTCAACATTCAACTAAAAAAAAAATATTAATAAATTAACCAAACAGCAAATAGGGCTTTTCAGAAAATTTAATGTGCATGAAATTTATCTCTTCCGCTTGACTTTTTACTTATACTCTATCATTTTAGAGTTTTACTTTTTCCTCTATCATTTAGTACATAATAACACTCGTGTTTAAGATGGTGAGGCGCTTCCGTTTTTGTATCATTAAATTCGACATTAATACGATGAACTTAACATCTTTATCTATTCTCGTTTCTCTTTTTCACTGCGGTTAAACAGAAATTTTTAAATTTAGTGCAATAATTTTATATAATGATGTATTTATTTTATATTGATATTTTTTTTAAAAATTTATAGTGGACTACGAAGTTGAAAAGGGATGGGCTTGCTTTATATTTACATTTATGCTTCATAGAGATCCCGAATCATTTCCTGATCCAGAAAAGTTCGACCCCAAAAGATTTTTTCCCGAAAACGCAGCGGGAAGGCACCCATACGCCTATGTGCCTTTCTCAGCCGGGCCAAGGAATTGTATAGGTAATGCCATGAATATACGCATATAAACTATTATAATAAAAATAAAAATCTGTGTGTGTCTATCTTATAATTCCATATCTTTCTTTGTAGTAAGTCTTTCTCTGTATGAGTTGAACTTTTCTTGATTTTAATGCGTAATACCATCGAGAAAAGCAACAAACATTATTAAGAAAATTTAAATTAGTTTTTTTGCAGATTTGTGTATTATTTATGATCTTCGTATTCGCATATAATGCCCGTTCGAGGAACAGAACGGGTTGTAATACAAACCCGCGAGAAAAAAAGTGATTATTAATTTTACACCTATCAACGAATTGTAACAATAGATTGTATTATGAGTTTGAAATTACTTGCATAACTTATACGCCTTGTTTCGAAACCAGGAGCAATCTTTTGTGTAAACATTTTTCACCAGAAAGTAAAAGATGTATTAAAATTATTAGCTGTTTCTGCCTTACGAAAATGGTTTGTGTTTTATAATACAATTTTTAGTTTGACACGAATTTTTTTAAATTTTCAGTAACGTTTCTTTAAAAAATATTTGTAAACAAATGACCAATTCCTATAAAAATGATCTCTTCTGTGAGTAATTTTAAATGAACATACTGTTTCTACTTCGTGAATGTTAATTTATTATATTTAATATATTTATATTACATTATTTCTCCAATGTTTCCAGGTCAGAAATTTGCTTTAATGGAGGAAAAGACTGTGCTCGCAAACATATTCCGGTCTTTTGAAGTAACATCCAAGGACCCCAGAGACAAAGTTAATGTTTCTCCTAGCCTCGTTTCCAGAAACCTTGAACCGCTCATGCTAAGATTCACACACCGAAATATAAGATGAATTTCAAATAAGACAATTATTACTGAAAGGTACTCTAAAAAATCTCTCGTCAGGAAAAAAACGAGTTTAAGCTAGTACTGATGTAATCGCGAAATCGTTTGTAAAGGTAAAATGCATTTTGTGGATATTTGGCCTTCTCACTAAAAAGAAGGAAAAAAAACAATGTATAAAGGTCTAGTGCAATCCAAATAACGGTTCTATTGCGAATATAAATAATTTCAAATAATATTATTTTATGCACGTTACTTGTCTAACTCACACTTGTAGTAATTAGTTAATGGAATCAAGTTTTACTGATTGCACGCATTGATTCATGATTTTTTTACTATGTCTAAGAATTAAGTAAAAAAGGTATGTGTTGCACATGATAAATTAGGAAACAATGTTTGGATATTCATAAAAAATAAATTTATTGAATTGACTATAAATAAAACTTTGTGCATTGTTTAATTGTTCACTAGGAATAATTTTTCTTTTCTGATTTTTCGTTGGCGGTTTCTTTATGCAGAAATATAGCATCTACAGTCAGCCCAACTTGGCAATTTTTTTGAAGTTATTGCGCGTTAAAGTTGGTTGGCGATAACTTATTCGTAGACCACGGCTTACAAAATGACGCAGTTCAATCCAAACGTTGAAATTCATCTTTAAATGTTTTATGTTTTGCTTTTTAAACAATTATATTTAATGCTGTAAGTTTGTTTCCTTTTCTGTTCAAACAGTAGCCAGAACTTTTTTTCCAAATCATTATTATTAGTAAATTAAAAGATATCTTGTTTCTGGTTGTTTCTCTGTAAACTGCATCTCCTTAAGATAAACACAGTTTCAACAACCCTCGATAACTCAATTATCTCTATTCGTTGAATTGCCTTTTCTTAAATATGTAACATCGACGTTTAAATTATATATAGGATGCTATTGCTTGATTTTATTAATCCTATTTCATGTGATATGAAAATTTCTTCATTCGTACTTAAATCTCATTCTAAAAAAATTAATTTAAATTTCCACTACATGTAATTAGTCTAAACTTACTACTATTGTACTCTAAGTATAAGCAAAATCTGAATTCGTTACTTGATTATCAAGTCACTTAAACGGCCATTGCACTAAGAAAATACTTTTTTAATCAAAGTAAAGGTAGGCAGGTACGTTATTTAACCTACATTTAAAGAATCGGTGCAGTGGGTGAATGGAATCAATCCTCTTTGCTCTCTGTGTTACAGAAACAATTTCTGTATTAACTGAATATGCAAGTTGTGATAAGATTCAATATTTGTACTTGGTCATATTTATTTATATCTTGCATTTCGAGCTTCATTATTGTTCAATATTATGCTTCATCATTATTATGTCATCATTATGCTTCATTATTGTTCTGGGTTTGAATTGTATTTTTGTGTTTTGATTGTTATGTGATTAATGATGTAAATACTTCTTTTTATTGTATTTATTCTTTCAATAACTTCAGATGACACATCAATAATTTGTTGTGATGTTTGAATAAGATTTGTTTATTGTAAGAGGAAATTTAATAAATGTATGTGTGACTGTTTTTTTATTTATTTATTTAATTTCAATAAAACATGCGGGAGCAAAAGACATAGCATGTACAAATTTTAAATGTTTCGTCAAGATTCTGTTAAAATATAATGATAATGATTCAATATTTTTAGTAAACATATATTGATTACGAAATCTTATAATTATGCCCATTAATCTTCACCTATGCCCATTTTGAAAATTCAAACTTTAAATTTTTACATGTAACATTTCAAGTTGAGGCCAGTATCATTTTTTAAAAGGAAATTCATTACCTAGATAATTTTTATGTTTCTGATTTTCCTTTGTTGCCTTCTGTTATTCTTTCTATAATCTTTCTGCGTTTGTGTAAACTTTCCAGACTCCGGATCGGCCCAGCACGATTGACTTAACTACCTTTGCTTTTCGGGGAGACTTCATGTGCAGTAACAGCAACTTTCATCTAATGATTCACCGTAATTAAACGGAAACATCACAGTAGAAGCCTGTATAAAGAAATGTTTCGTTACAAGTAGGATTTGTAAAAAAATTTGGAAAAAAAAATTCAAAATGACCTAAAATAAGAAACATTTTCGTGGATTTCAAAACCAGTCAACTCAATATAAATATTATACGTGCAACGAAAACTATATTTATTGTGAAACGTCTCAATATTTGAAGTCAATCGGTTAAAAATTCTACTAGTTAGAGGTACAGCTTGTGAAAGAAGCATAGTTCCGAGTAAATGGCGTTTAAAGTAATCCATAAAAACATATAGAGGCATAAATTATGGAATAATTTTTAACTATTTAATGACTTGTCATATTATTGATGAATAATGTGTCAAGTCATATCATTTTTGTGTGCTGTTTCTTCAAATGCTTTTTAACCATTCTTTAAAAATACCAGAATTAATCAACTCTTTTTGATTGATTTTCTCTGTCTCCTGAATACTTTAAACTTATACGTAGTTTCTTTAAAAAAGGAGTCATTCCACGTCAGATCAATCACTTTTGGACCGACCCCCCTCCGATTTTGATGAAATTTGGTTGAATAAACTCATTATAAAGTAAGAAATTCTGCCAATTTTTAGTTTTTTAATTTGAAAATTGTCCAAATTATGGACATTTGAAAAAATAAAATTTTCATAAAAAACGACAAACTTGCACACAAGTAAATAAATGGCTGTAACTTTTGTTCTAATTATATCAGAAAAAAATTTCAAAAACCATTGCAAAGCTAAAAAATAGAGCTTTCATNTATATTTGCCTTCTCAAGTTAGGTCAAATTTTTGAAAAAGACCTGATTTGACCTGAAATATCTCGAAACATGTGGTCTCAAAAATTACGAATTTTTTTTTTTTTCTGCAACATTCTTCTACACTTTTACAAATTTATAGCCTGGAGTCTCTAGGAAGTGTATAAATAATTAATAAAAGCGGTATGCTGTACAACTTTTTTTTCTATCTAAGACATTCAATAAAATGAGTATAAAACCTAAAACAATCCATGGAAAAGTAAGTAAAAAACATGAAATTCTTAAACCAATACATAAAATGGCAAGAAGGGATATTTTTTACAGCCCAATCATATTACTTCCGCGGTGTTATGACTTGATCATTATAATAACATTGAAGGCTGGAACGTGCAGCTTGTCTTTTGAAGGTACCTGCAACACTATCTCATGGACTATTTCCAAGGGCCGTAGGAAAGAAATGCCACTCAGCTGTGAGACCATAGTCTATATTATGATAGCACAAATTTATAAAGTTCTTTCGATTTTTGTACTGCGAAGCTGCTCCATCTGAGAAGTAATAAATATGTTTTATTTTGTTGTTAAATGTGAGGTTATAAACTGCAACTATTGAGTCTGAAAAAGGTGAACACTGACAATATCATGCTTGAGACATTTTGAAATGGCAACAAAGGAAACATGATTTAAGTGTTTCTAAATTCATATAGTAAATGACAAAACTGTGAATAGTACACTGGGAATTATTCCAATGGTATCTTTGGACTGCATCCTGTAATACAAAAGAATAATTTTCAGCAAAATCACATATCACTATGCAGTCATTATCATCAAGTCAAGGCATTCTGTAAGATTTGATAAAAGGCATGACTGTTGATTAGTAATGAAAGAATGAGGTAGAAGCATTCTACTCTGGTCTGGGATTTGGACTTGTTAAAAGACCCTGGTCTTCAGCTAGCAGTTCAGATTTTCGTGTTATATAAAATGCTGCAGTAAATTCTTCCTGAATTTTACGAATATTCCAGGTTTTAAGCAATATTGTTAGCAATTGGAGCTTGAGTGTGTTTCTTGAAATTTTTCTTTCAGCTGTGAAATCATAATAGATTCATTAGACATTGTTGCAGAATTTATGCGTTTTCGATAGTTGAAAAACTTGAATAGGAGGATTTAGCCGGTGCCTCCCTCACATGATTGGTATAGGGCTAGTAAGCCGGGACGGTCTTCCATGCGACAGAAAAAGCAATACTTGCCTTTGACGCCTTGCCAGTGGACATTTAAAATGTCTTACTTTTTCTCGGTATAAAATCCTACCCTCTTTGCCCAAAATGCCATCAACATCAGGCTTCAGCTGAACATATGTTAAGCTGCTCAGGAATTCTTCGAGAAGAAATTTACACTTCTCCTCTCCTTGTTTCCGACTTTTTACTCGTCAACGGTTTTATGAATCTGATCAGACCTTTGGAGATAAGTAACAACAACAAAACTTTCCCAATTTTATTAAATTTTTTTTTACAATATTTCCCAAAACCTTATCTTTTTGTGTTTACAGGAGATTCACCTAAAACGCGTAATGTATTGTTCAAACTCCCCAATTCTGCGTCTTGATCATTCCATATTTCCCTCTGAACATCCTCTTCTGAATCACTTTAACTGAACTACCTAGGGTTTTCCCCTGTTTCATTTATAACCGAGAAATCTGGCAATTTCGACAGAGATATTCGGCGAGATGAACATATTTTTTGTTGCAAACACAAATTTAGGCATTTTTTAATCATCCAAGGTGGTACTTTTCTCAAATTCTCTTTGACATGGGTGCGGTCATTTTTAACCAAGGGATTAATACAATAAATTTGACTTCCAAAATCCATTTTGTGAACTGAAGCTTTCCCTTGACAGAAACTGGTTAAATTATCTTAAACAGCAAAATTAACCTTAAGCTCGAAAAATCGTAATCTAAATGACAGAAATCTAAAAGAGTCTTTCCAGTTATTGGTTATAATCCTTATTGGTTATAGATCCTTATTGGTTATAAAAAAATAAATGAATAAAAAATAAACGTGCAGAAACAAAGAAAAAGAAACACACAGAACTAAAGTGTCAGGATGCTTGCCTTTTTAATTCGAACATGTGCTTTAGCACTCAATGCAGATGATAATTTTGTATAATCAAAACATAATTAAAATTCACCTTTTTAGGATTCATGTTTTTCTTTTTTTCTTTCTGCAATATATAATTTTATTTCATTAAGTGCATTGGTCTTTTCTTTTTTTCCCCATTCAGAATTGCTTACAATACTTGCTTTTATTTAATTAAGAAACTTCATTGTTATTTTTAAAACATCTATAAATTTGTTACTAAGCTAGTAAATGTTATCACAGTAACTTAGGACTACAATATCTTATATTTTGAAAGAAAAGGAAGAACTCAGAACTTTATTCATTTTAATTATAAAGATTCTGAAAATGCTTTGAGAAATTCGTAAAAGCATTAAAATGAGGAGGTAGAAAAAAAGGATGATGTTTTCATAATTGTTTATTTAAAATATTTATTATTTGTATATTGATTAGAAATTGTGGTGATCATGTTAAATTAGTCTTTAGTAGTAGCAAATTGTGACTCCAATCTGTTGATTTGTTACAAAATATGTGTATTATATTATTAAACTCAAATTATTTCTGTCAAGAAAAGAAAGAAATTTCTTGTGTGCATTGTACAGCATAGCATTTTTAATTATACAGTATTTCACTTGTGTTAATTCTTTATACCCTTCCTGTTGCGACTCCAGGCTACAAATTTTACAGAAGTTAGATTTTCATTTCAATTAATACAAGTTACCAACATTAATTAAGCATCATTGTCGTCAATTAAAGAATGACGATTTCTTACTAGACAAATAAATACCTTTACTTCATTTCTTTTGTTTTCTAGCATATTGCTTTTTTTTATTCCAATATGCATGCATATATTACCTTAATTAAGCCTCATTGGTGCCAATTTTTTATGTTTCTCCTAAACGACTTTGTACCACTTTCCTATTAAAGCGTTGAATGCCACGCTAATTTAACATGGCTTTGCCCGTCAGGCCAAAATTATTTTCTAGTATGAGTTGAATATTTTGATGAAATATTATTTACAACAAAATAGTTAATTTTTGTAATCTTGACACATTTAATTCACTGAGGTCACCGGGGAACCCCCATGCCATTCATCGTGTTAATTTTTACTTTTGAATACATAAATATTTTTTTCTCTTCCATTACCGTTGGTTTTAAATAAATAATTGTTTAGAAACACGTTTAAAAGCCCCCAACACACTGCTCTGGCCTGTGCTTCAGGTAAACGAGAGGTGCATATTGCCCAGTGCACATCAATCGGCGAGTCACGAATATCATCTGTTGGCTAGGGTCAAGCCCGGGGTCACTTACTGGGCACCTCGTTAAGGGTGGAGGCTGCTTCAGGAGAAAAAGGCCCAGCTAGCTTTAGTAATATCCTTAATAGAGAGTAAATCATAAAAATGAAAGACCATAACTTCATTCCTCCTCTCAGATGGTATACTATCCAAACATTACAAATGACTCCTATTCCCTTTAATTTAATTATGGATACTCCTGGAGAGAGAGGAAAGAATCTATGGTGATCCCAGACTCCGGAGTATTCCACCTCTTATCTTTAAACTTGACTATAAATAAGATAGATGTAGGAATTTAAGTATAAACTTGATTATTTAACCCAATCATTACTTAACCAACTTGTTCTACCTTGACGCAGCATTTGGACCTTGTGCCACTAAACCTTACAATCAATCAACTGAGTCGGCTGATCCCTGTAACCACCAGAAGATCGGTGTCAACGTCTTCTCTGCCTAGGTTTCACGAACGAAATTTGTTTGCTACGCGACCACTCTAGTCCCACCATACAAGGGAATGTTTGAGATTGTGGAGGTTGGTATATTTGGTAGAGGTCCACTTGAACTCTGAAAAGAAATATGACTCCAATTTTAGTATAATTTTCAAGGTGAAAATGTTCACGAGAAAGAATTATAGGTTTATGTCGTGTTACTTTATAAATAACATTTTAAGTTTAAATAAAGAACTATCTTTATTAACACTTAAGAACTTGGTAAATTTAACTAACATTTTAACATAAATAAAATATAACTTAAACATTCAAGCTGCAAATGAGTAACCGGCAAGAACATGCCTAACAGCTAGCTAGTTACTCACGAACCGACGGAGAGAGAGCGAGCTGTGGAGAGGCGGCNACTTAAATGATTATGCATGATGTATCAAAACTTTACTCGTAGCCCCCCCCCCCCCCCCAAAAAAAATTTCAAACTTCCCCCTTCCATGTTAGCTTGTTCGAAATAGTGCTACTTTGCTTGCATTCTACTCATAATATGACAAATGCAGACCTTCATCCTGATTGTGAATGCTGAAAATATGTTTAAAGCAAAAATAAACAAATTAAAAAAGTCGGCACAAAAAATTATTGAAAATGGGCTGACTAAAACTATTACAATAAATGATAAGTTACTGATGGCACCTGTAGATTAATGAGCTCAGAAGTTTTAAACTAATTATTAAGAAAAATAATTTTATTGAAGTTACCAAACAATGCAGCAAATGGCAAGCAGCAATCATCACAAGAGTTGGGAATTTTAGCACAATTAACCCTTTCAGGCAAATGTCCATTATAATGGACATGATTTCGAGATTTTTTTAGCCCTGCCGATCGCCGTTTTTTAACAAAAAAATTATGCAAATGGTCCTTTATACCGTTAAGAATGTAAACATATTTTTTAAAACAAATTTTCATTACCCATTTAAAAAAAAATTTTTTTTTAACAATAAAAAAATTCAAGATTTATTGATTTACTGCAAACGACATTTTTAATAAACAAAAAAGTTGATATTTATTGTTTTTTTTTTTTCAAAGTGGAAAAAAATTTTAGGCATATGTAAGTCTCATTCATAAACAATGTACAAAAGTAACCAAAGCAAATAATGCATTTGTGGCAAATATTTGTTAATTAATAAATAAACATGCACATTATATTTTACAAAATTGTTTCATTATATAGATAAGTATAATTTTTTTTTACATTTTTCCCTTAATTTGGTAAAAAGTAGCACAGAACACACAAAAATATTTGTTTTTGATCGCTGAATAAAGATAGTGACTGTAAGGGTTAAAACGTACACGATACATCTAAAAAAGTCTCAACAAATCATATTATTGATGCTTTAGTCAAGAGAACTGGCTAGTAATAATAATTTCTTTAAAACTTCCGAACTCATGGCAAAAGTATCAATAATATGATCTGTCGACACTTTCTGTAACATATCCTTTTTTACAGCAATTATCAGTAAGCTGTTAAGACGGTTCGTGTCAGTGGTGGACCGCAATCTATTTTGGATGATTTTAAGCCTGCTGAACGCTCTTTCGGCGGAATAACTTGTGACTGGATGAATGGCCAAGATCTTATAAATGCATGTTATTGTAGGAAATGCGAAAATTTCGAAAGCTACTTTCAGTGGGGAAAAAAATTCACACTTCCTCCAATCCTTATAAAGAACCGCCATATCTGATTCGTCAATTTCAGACTCTGAGCTTTCTTCCTCTGTGTCCAGTGATGCTGCATTTTGATATTCATTATGAATTTCACTGTCATCTTCTCCCAATTCAAGATAAAGATTTCTAAAGTTCTCCAGTTCATTAAAGGCTTCGTCAGCATCGAGACCGTACTTATTGCATAGAAAGCGTATGTCATCTTTTGTAGCTTTGAATGTCGAAGATCATTAACTTTTTTCGCTAAAAAGACTCATTTGACGGTTCAAAGTCAAATTTTTTTCCCGAAAAAGATCTTCAAGTTGAATGCTCAAACCAGTGGCGTACGCAGAATTTTTTCAAGGGGGGTGTTCATAATTTTCTGAAATTACTAAAAGAAATTCGAGTATGTAATAAAGCACAATTATTTCCCTAATTTAGACAGCTAACAATTTTTATTTTTATTTAGACAGCATTGTTTAGTTAAATTTTGATTTCATTTTTTAAGTTTAAGAACATAGTGTAATATCTTCTCGCATGTAATATCTTCTGAAAAAAGTCCAATGTCCTATGGGTGGGAAGTAACACTTTGAGGGCCACTTCACATTCATCAGATTTTGTTATGCTAGAAACGTTTTCTTCAATAACATTTCTAAGGTATAACATTTCTGTTCAATAGAAAAACTTATATTGGTACCAGATGCTGTCACCTCACTAATTTCAGGTCGTGATTTTTTCTCAAAATGATTAAAAATTGTTAAATTCTTGCGTTTTGGCATCCTAAAGATCCAAGAACAGCAAATATATACATATATTTATTGGTACAGAAATATCCGCTATGCTACGATCTCAAAGTTTCGAGCTGGAATGAATAACTTCAACGAGCACAGTATCTCCAATGGTATTGTTACTGATTTCTTCACTAGTCGAAATAGTGGCGACGACGGGTTCGGCGATTGAATGAACTTTTTGTTGAGATAAATCAAAACAGATTTAGCGACAAGCTCCGAAAGACAAGCGGCAGAGATAACTCTTAGTCTGACTAACTAACTCCACTGTACTCCGTTCCCCCTTTTATATAATTTTTCACCGCATCTCCAAAATTCTCGAATTGTCTCAAAGACGACAGAACGTCTAGGATTCCAGACCTCGCGAAGCCAGTCTCGAAAACTATCGCGACTGGCAGGAGAGAAAGGAACCAGCCCGTAACAGCATCACGCGAATTTGGTTTCAAAAGTACAACTCTATTATAGTAAATGTTTTTTCAGTGAGAAATACCGTGAGAAAAAAAAAGTAGGCATAAAGCAAATAAAAATATTTAGTCTTAAAAAATAATAGCCCGCATAATTTCTACTTAAATGTTTATTTTTGCCATTTTGTCTGAGCTCAAGGGGGGTGCCCCCTTATTCTCTGTGGACAGGAAATAGGGTGAGGTAGATTTCCAGAATTTCCTTATTTATTTTGCTTTGCACATGTAGTCAAGTTATGTATGCCTGAAAATGGCCAGTTGCTTCTTTTAATTATGTACATAAAATTAAAAAAAATTCTCTCGTCTAAATTCCCCCCAAGCTATTCGTTTTATTTAGTGTAAAAATCCCCCACTAAGCTTCAAATGGGCGCATCGTGCGCCCGCCCACCTTCCCCCCTGATGGGGGCCCCTGGTGGAGAGGCGGCTAAGATAAATCAAAATGCATCCAGTGGGTGCTTCGCCGATTTCGTACTTCGCGCATATACTCCGAGGAAATCTCCATTCAGGTGTGAGGTCTACGTCATACAAGAATTATCGGCTGCAAGCGACGGAATCCAACGTCAGAGATTCGGACTTTGCAAATCAGACCGCAACGCCACAAGATGAACCAAATAATCTGTCAACTGGACAGCTGTTCTTTCCACAGGTGATTCAGGTTTAGCTTTCTAAGCAGTATTAGGTGTTGTTTGGTTTGGAAAAAACCTGGTACCAGATATAACCCATCAAACATCTGTGAAACAATGCATTCCAAGGAGGCAGTGCTTGTGAGTGGGGTGGATACCACCCCACATCTCTTTGGATGTATGCACTGACCTGCATGTCTTTTCACGTGGAACCGTGAATGATCATGTGTACAGAAATGACATTCTTTGTTTATGTGCACCCTCATATTTTATTCTTGTTTATGTGCACGTTCAGATCTATGCGAAGAAATTTTTTTCCAAAATTTCTTCTTTTCCTAAATCTAACTTTTATTTTGAGTATAATTTTTTTCCAAATGTAATTGTTACTTTTTTCTTCTGCATTAATTTGCTTAAAAAATTTAAGAGGATTTTATTGTTTTAAGTAAACACTTCACTCCTAGTCATTAAAAATAAGTAATTAACAACCCCTTACCCCTTAAAAGGACGCTGCGGGAGAAATGTTTCAAGAAAAATTCTTTTATACCTACATATATAATTAAAAGTATAGAAAAAGTGAGGTTCAGGTAAACCTAGAGAAAACCATTAAGTTTCAAATTCTGATTTTTTTCTTTCTTAATTATCAATATGCGAACAAATTATTGTACAATAACTATGCGATCCTGATTAATCATGCCATAATTTGTTTCAATTTTGAAAAAAAAAACATTTTCAGCCTTGAAACTTCCAAGTTTTCTCTAGATTTACCAGATATCACTTTTATCTGATTTTACCAAAAGAGGTAAAATAGAATGTTCCATGAATACTTTCCTTGTAAGTTCTTACGTATTATTTGAACAGTTTCTTGTGAAAGTAGAAAAATACATACTTTTAATATTTATACAGCATTTTAAACTGTATTAAAATTCAAACTCGAAAAAGATAAAGCTCGTGATTGAAGCCTGAGGAAGTTTACTGAGCTGAGTGTATGTGGAGATTTTAATCATGTAATCAGTGGAAAGTTACCAAAAACTCTGATGCAGATAAAAGCTACATAAGAATGAGTGAAAACAGACATGCATAATTTTTCAGTATTATTTTTTTTAAACTTAAAAGTAAGTTTTTTGTATTAATACTTCTAATGATTTAAAATAGTTTATCTTTACTCATTTAATGTTAAGCTCAATAAAGAAAATTAACAGGTAAGTGGTTAAGTTTTTTTTTGTTCTGTGATCGACATTTCTTTGTAATTTTTTTTCTTTTCAAGATTTTATTAATGCAATGGCAGACCAGAAGAGGTTCATAGATTCAAATAATATTTAAACATTAATTTTTGTGACTCTAATCCATATGAATTTGGACATTTATAATCGGAGGGAAAAATTTCTTCCTATTTTTGAAACAGCGTCTTCAGGTTTTGAATATTTTAGGTATTGTGGTTAATTGTATGGTGTAAATAAATATTAATTCTTTTTCACCCTTTGGTAATCTTCCAAATACTTTTATTTAATAAAGAAACTTCATTGTTATTTTTTAAGCATCTATAAACTTGTTACTAAGCTAGTAAATGTTAAAGCTCACAGTAACTTAGGACTACAATATCTTATATTCTGAAAGAACACTAAAAGAAAAGGAAGAAACAAGAACTTCATTTTTTTTATTTTAATTTTAAAAATTCTGAAAGTGCTTTGAGAAATTCATAAAAATGAGAAGGGTGAAAAAAAAGGATGATGTTTTCATAATTGTTTATTTAAAAGATTTATTATTTGTATATTGATTAGAAGTTGTGGTGATCATGTTAAATTAGTCTTTAGTAGTAGCAAATCTGATAATTTGTTACAAAATGTGTGTATTATATTATTGAATATTAAACTCAAATTATTTCTGTCAAGGAAAGAAAGAAATATTTGTTGTGTGCATTGTACAGCATATTTTTAATTATACAGTATTTCATTGTGTTAATTCTTTAATCCCTTCCTGTTGAGACTCCATGCTAGAAATTTGTTAATGTATAGAAGAATGTTGCAGTAAAAAAAAAAAATTCGTAATTTTTTGAGACCACATGTTTTGAGATATTCCAGGTCAAATCAGGTCACTTTTAAAGTTTGACCTAGCCTGAGAAGGTCATATAAGGTATCAATTGAAAGCTCTATTTTTTAGCTTTGCAATGGTTTTTGAAATTTTTTTCTGATACGATTAGAAAAAAAGTTACAGCCATTTATATGTATGCAAATTTGTCGTTTCTTATGAAAATTTTATTTTTTCAGATGTCCATAATTTGGACAATTTTCAAATTAAAAATCTAAAAATTGGTAGAATTTCTTTCCTTATAATGAGTGTTTATTCCACCGAATTTCATTTAAAGCGGAGAGGGGTCGGTCCAAAAGTGATTGATCTGACGTGAAATGACTCTAAAGAAGCTATTTGCTGATCTTAACTTCCAATTACGAAAGATTTCAGCTTTTTCCCAGTTACATTGCAGCACAGTAAAGCGATGTTTTTTTTGTTTTTTTTTTAAATTTTCCTCCAGAAAGTGGACACCAGATTATGAAGTCCATTTTAATAATAGACCATCCTAAACTCCGACTTTTGCACTTAGGATGAAAAAGATATTATCTGTATTAAATGTAGGGGATTTTAAAATTTTACCAGCATGTCATCTACTTATTCCTAGGAGTATTACGTATTTTAATAGAATTGCTATTTTTAAGGATCATTCTATACAACAAACATCAGCTCTTATTTATCGTCAGATTTTTTTTACTTACGAGAACAATATCAGGATTCTAATTCAATTTTACTGAGGGCTCAAAGAAAGATAATCATATTATATCTGCAGTAATTACGCCTGAAGATATTGTCACCGAGAAACTAAATTCTGAATGCTCAGTTTTAACACGTGAAGCGCTCACGCAATTTTGTTTGTTATGAAATTTATATTTTCGCAAACATATAAATTTTTTTTTACATAGATTCTTATTTTATCACAGCATGAAAAATCTCATCACGAAATATAACTTATATTTTCTGAAAGCTCCATGCAAGTTATTTTTTGAAAGCTCCATTGTAAAAACTCTAGATTGGTACATGCCAAAATAGCACTTTTTATGCATAAAAACACTAAAGATTTTTTAATTATTCGTTCTCAGATACATATAATTAAAAAAATTCGTAAGAAACAATACTTTACTTGTTTAGACAGCAATGTCTAATGCGTTAATAGGAGCAAGTACGAAATTGTACTTTTTGTACTATTATAATTTCTAAAATGATCAATCTCGATGAACAGATTAATAGTTTAGAATAATCTAAGTATTAGTTTAATTTAATTCAGCGTCAAAAATTTTATCGAAAACAATACCTTAACTGCCTATCTGGAGAAAATTCAATTTCTCCGCTCAAATCATCCTCATTTCTTTCAAAAAAGAGAGAAGTTAAAAGAAATGAGAGGAGAGTTTTCAGATAACATTTATAAGGACATAAAACTCTCGATAAAAAAAAAAAGTCTTAGGTATTTTTCCGAGGAAAAAGTATAATTTTACTAGGCTAGACATTCAAAACCACGAAGTGCTAGCTGAAAAGTAAGAACAAGTATAGAAAATAATTCTAAAATGATTTAATTTAAGATAAAATTATCGCATGGAACGAAAAACTAAAATTTCAGTTGACGGTTTTAATCTATTTCCGATAAGTTAAAGGATGGAAAAAGTCCACTTTGCCAACAAAACGGTTTTAAACCGTTAAAAATGGGGAGAAATTTTAAAAAAAAAAAAAAAAAAAAAAACTGGCGTTTTTTACAGTGCACGTTTAACTCATAAACACCTCTTACTGAATGAACCCAAGCCTATTGCGGAGAACCACTAACTGTTAAACACATTTTGAAACTAAAAAAAAAGTTGATATTTCAATTGCGATAATCCAAATTTAACGATTTTAATTGGTGACGATCCTCATATAAGCCTTGTTGACAGAATTATAATATCAACCAAGAGTTAAGCGCGGTATATCCTTTCCTGACTCTTGCGTCCAAAATAACTAACTTAGTCTGTTAAACTGATTCCTTCCCAGTTCTTAACAGGACTAGTATAATAATATTAAAAATATAAAACATAATTTTACAATTTCAACTTTTACTTTGAGGTTCTCCAAAATATTCATATTTTCTAAGTTTTAATGTAATTATTTAATTTTAAATGTACTAAATGTTAAATGTAGTATAGACGAGTATGACTCATCCTAAATTAACTAACAATTCTATTATAACGCTCATTTTTATTTTTTAAAATATTGTTCAGCTTCTTAAAGAATAGAAAGATGTAAGAACTTTTAATAGACATGTTATTAGAAATTCTCAATGTTTGCAACGCGTTTTTGTAAAAATCTGTTTACTCACTATATTTGGAAGACGCTAAAAAATAATGTAAAAAGAAAGAGTTAAAAAAATCTTTTATTTAAGTGCATTCTAACATTATGCAAACGTAATCATGTTCTCGTTCAGAAATATAATATTGAAATTAGATGATTTGTGCTATAAAATTTTTAAATTGTGCTATAAAATTTAATTGTGCTATAAAATATTTAAATTGTTTAAAATAAAGTTCGTATCAGTCTTTATGATAAATTATGAAGGATTTCGATGTTTTCATCAATTTGAATTTATTCCATTTATGTTAAGAACTGATAAGTATGGTGTAAGATATGAAAATTAAGAGCAAAAACATTGAATTATCATGAACAGTAAGAAAAATAACTCTATTATTATCTGTTCTCATTGAAGTCATTATCTGTTTGAATCAAGATAAAAAGATTTAAATTTCTGGAAAATTATTTTGTATGGATGTGAATAAAATTTGCTTATTCGCTTGATGTTGTTATTATTATTTAACTTTACTTAGCAAAGTTTGTACGTTACGTTTGGAACGTTATTTTTATTTTTCGAAAAGAATAATTTTGAAGCATGCTATTATCAAACAGGAAGGTACTGTAAATTTAATGTTGTTCAAACTATTAAAAACACTTAAGTTATTCCCTCTTGAATGTAAAATTCTGATAAGAATAACTTGATTTTGCGATATACTACCATTTAGTAAGAATATATTAATTAAATATATATAATTAATTATAATATTGTTTTTAACATAAATAAACTACTTCGCATTAAGACCGTTTTGTTAAAGAAAATGTCCATTCAATCGCAGATCCGGTGGTGTTTCTTTCGGTCATTTATGCCCCGATGTGATCCCAGTCTCCCTTCCGATGCAAAGTAACTTTCGGACTGTCTTATCTTGTCTTATAAGGGTTCTTCATAAGAGAAGAACTGGTTTGAAGTTAATTTTTGATGTTCTTCAAACAAGTGGCGATTATGAGAGTGCTTCTCAATAAGCTCCGTTTTGCTGACTTTTTCTCAACACATGGATATCAGATAGATCAGGTGGGGCGGCTGGTCCCTGGACGTATGGTAGTGTTATCTGAATAACTGCAGTGTTATCTGAATAATTTTAAAAATATTTGGTAACAGACTTGACATTTCTCTTGGACAGCCCAAACAATTAACATTTACCAGAAAACTTCGAAACTTCAAAAATATCTTCTGAATTTATTATAAAATAAATTCTTTACAATACGTTAGTGAACGTAATTTTACAGATTGGAAATTGGTTAAATATTAAATAGAAATTTGACTTTTTATTTATTTTATATAGTCTATTTTCTAAGATATTTTACATTTCATAAAAAAGAAGCGTTAGGCGAATTCTTATAATATTACACATAATAACTCTTAATCGTATATATTTTTGGAAAACACAAGCATCTGAGCCAGCAGGTCATTAAATTTCAAAATAAATAATAGTCCTTTTACGGACATCAAAAATGCCACAAATTTGAAATCCATGATATCATCTCACTCTTCCACTGTATTGTTTCCTGATAAGTAATGTTCAGAAGCTTTGTTTCCACTTGATAACAACTCTACACAGAAACATCTTATTAATTTCTTAATAACGTGGTATTTTTAAGATAATAAACATGACACATTTTCAAAGTTTAGTAAATTATTTGAATACATTGTTACGATAATCATAAATGTATCCTGAAAATTTATATAGAAATTTATTACTCCTTTTTTTTCCAGTATCAACTTTTAGCCTTGTGTATGACTTCGTTTTCACTTTTTCTTTTTGCGCTTGCATTCTTTCTAATCAGTGTTCTATGGAAAAAGTTTAGTCTTGAAAAGACACCCAAGAAATCTATACCAACTCTAAAATGTTCAAACGTGTTATTTTTCTATTGTATGTTGGCAAGTGGAATCAGAATACTTCATTACGGTTTCACTTATGTTTTATGCAGTAAGTATAATTTTAGTCTTTGTTTTTAAAAATATAAATTTAATGATGGTTTTAATTATATGCTTCTCTTAAACATAGGATTGAGGCGCTGTGGTGAAAAGTTACATTTGTTCAGGGATGCTAACTGACCGGCTTTCGGCAAAGATTTAACAGCGTGGTTATATAAGTGTAGAAAAAGAAAAACTTGTATAAATGTTTTACATTTCGCCAATACTTTAAAACGCTGGCCGCGAAATAATAGTAACCAAGTGGCATGTTTTATGTATATTTCAATAGTTTTAATGTAGCGATGGGCGACATTAAGTTAAATTTCTTAACTCAGCGATCAACATAAACTTTTCTACCTTTAGAAAAACTATTTCTACAAAACAGAGCACGTAGGCATCTCGGTTCAAAGTGCGAGTATAATAACCTATTCCACGTATTACTACTAATATTTCTAATACAGACTAACTAACAATTCTCGCGTGAATTCGAAAGTTAGATAGCAGTTCATCGCCTAACTATCAGATAAAATGGGATGCAGATATGGGAAATAAACTGCATGAAATTAAACCATCAATTAACACATTTAAAAGATTAAATAGTTCCAATGAAAATTGAAGCACTTAGAAACGTTTTATGTATATATGTATAATATGAAGAAATAGATATCACTCAATGTATGTTTTATTTTAATGCCCAAGATTGATTTTAATGCCGAAGGAGGTAAGCATATAAAAACAGTAATGATGACACAATTTCGAAAAAGAGGAGTATTATTCAAATTAAAAATAAAAATGATATATGCTCAATTTCAAAGTTCAAGATAATTTCTTTAGTGAAATATATGTAAGCTTTAAGGGGTTTATCTATAGAAAGCAACAACATCCCTAAGTGTTGTTTTGCTATGTAAGTATATGGGGTTGTCTAGTTATGACCATGCACTCATTTTCAAGGGGCATTGTTGCTTTTCATAGTTATGCTTTGTCAATTTTAAGTGAAAAATACAGCTTTTAGCGGGGTTTTTTTTCTGCGCTGAAGATCTTGGTTAAACATGATGTTAAAAATCAAGTCCCTCTTTCTTTTTTGAGACAATAACGATGAATCTTCTCTTTCAAAATGAGTTAAAATAAAGAGATTTTTTTATAAGAACATTTATAATTAAAAGATATAATTATAGAAGGAAAAACACCGAGGCATTGTGCCATAAAAAAAGTGATTTTCTCTGTAATGTTTTTGTATAAAGTATTAACCCTTTAATGGGCCCTTTATTTCTAGTAAAGGTAAATTAAAGTATTTTTGGAATTGAAATTGTTTTAAGTGATTTCAAAATTTTAGGTTTTACTCTNCCATTCTTTCTATTCTTACTTTCTATTCTTATTTGCTATTTCACTTACTTTCTCTTCATTCTTTCTTTTTATTCTTACTTTCTATTCTTGTTTGCTATTCCACTTACTTTCTATTCTTTCTTTCTTTCTATTCTTTCTTTCTATTCTTACTTTCGATTCTTACTTTCTATTCTTTCTTTCTATTCTTACTTTCGATTCTTATTTGTTATTTCGCTTATTTTCTATTTATCCACTTGGATTAGTCTGCGTAGGGACAGAGGGTGTGCGGTATTGGCCCTCATTAAACAGTTCTACCTTAAAATGCTCGACTTCGCGTGCAGGTCGTCGGGCTACCGAAGCAAGGGGAGCCATCCCTACTGCAAAGCATCAAAATTGGGATGTGATATAGAGCAGTTTCGTTTTTGGTTTGGCTCTCAAAATTGTTTCGTCAAATGCAAGCTTTTAGCTTCAAAGGCTGTTAGAGATGGATATGCATGCCTGTCGGTGATATTGGATAAAGAAAAAGCACTATCAATAGAGCAGGTCGAATAATAGAAAAAGAACCTCCCCGGCAGGTATGTTTAATCCCTCTTAATCTAACTTAATTTTGTAAACTGCTTAATTAAAATTGACTCTAATGTTTATAAAAGATGTCTTGACTAGTAATTTTTCATTTAACAAGATTTGTCTGATTTAAATTTCTTGGATATATTTTAACAAGAAAGGGTAATAATATTAATCCGGCCTGTGTAGGGGGCAGGGAACTGTCCTTGCATCAGAAAGGTCCTGGGTTCGAATCCCGGGCAAGGCATGGATGTTTCTTTCTCCCTCTGTGTGTTCTATGTCCTTTCTCCTTTGAGTGCGAATATGACCCGCCCTATAAACGGGTTGTGGTTGCGTGAATGGCGTGGCAGAAGTCGAATTCCTGGCCATAGATGGTGCCACTGAAAAACAGGAACAATCGCACCCCCACTGCCTAAACAGGCATACGGCAAAAAAAAAAACAGAATACATCCAACAACGGTTTTCTCTAAAAACTTGACGCTTTACAATCAAATCAAGTAAAGATTTTAATTTCTGCTTGAACACATGTGCGGTAATATCATGACGATCCGATGATGATTGTCCTTGTAACGAAAGCTCTTTAATCTATTTATAGTGATGTATCTACCAACAGTAACCGCAAATGCATCAAAATTTCTTAAAAAACATAACCTATCACACTCAGAAATTAGAAGTACTAGGAAACTCATCTTAGGAAAGATTCATCTAGCCGAATATCTATAAAGACTGACAACTATGATCAATAACGTGTTTATCAATCTAAAGTACATAAATACATTTATCAGTAATAACATTAATAATTTGCTCGCTATGACCTAGATACCCCACAGCCAGTGCTGCGCTTGCGTAGTGCAGACGTAAAGTTAAACAGTCTTCGAATCTGCCACACCCGGTTATGACGTCTTCGTTTATTGTTTGGAGAGAGTGGAATGAGATTATCTTGAATGATTCTACAAATAAATCAAATATCCACTAGTTATAAAGATCATCTTGACCTAGTGTCCTAAATTTAAAAATTAAACGTCCTTATTGTAATTGAGAATTTCCTCATTTATCTACCTTACTCCTCACGGAAATCTCATTGACTACCTTAAAAACATCGGATGCTTCTCATAAATTTAAATAAGATTTTTAATAGAGATCTAGTGTTAGGCTTTTCGGTTCTTGCACTTAAAACTTAAATTGCTAACTAAAATAAACGAAGAGAACGGGCAGTTTCAGATAAAATAATTGTACAGAGTTCAATATTGTGTTGATTCACCAAAGTCTATAATTAATCCTATAAAGTCTATAATTCGCTCATGGGCTGCAATAATGGCACAACTAAAAAAATACGCGTTTTGGTCTAAGAACAAGTATAAATATGAAAATACACATTCTTTTCAACAGTAACACTTTTTTTTCTTTTCTCCGAGCCTTGAGCAGGTTATGAAAAACCCTTAACCATATAGCCCAGGACTTGGCCACTAGTCCAGCTCCACTCCAGCCTAGGAACGGGTCCAGTCAGCGGTATTGAAAATTTTCTACTTATCATGATATTTAAAAGAAGAAAAAAAATTTTTTAAACTGAAAGTGTGGAATTTAAGAAGAAATAAGACAAAGAGAAAAAAAATTATACAAGTGAAATAGGAGATTATTAAAAGTGTTATAAATAGTCATTATCTGCTAAAAAGTTCATTACTGTTATTAATTTTTTGGTTAAAGTATTGTTTATAATAAAATTTTTCTGCCAAATTTCTAAATTTATTGGGCTAGGTTGACGACTATGCCAGGAGACAGTGTAGGAACAACTAGTAAAATAATGTTCAGGCGAACCTTGTTGGCCTGGAAGATCAGTACCTGTTATATGCAGGTAATGAAAGAAGGTTGGAAATGGTCCGTGACCCGTCAAGAACCTGACAACAGCAATACTAGCAAACTAAAGATTTCTAATGCATTTTCCTTAGCAATGAAAACTTTAAACCCACTTATCTCAAAACATGATTTTTTGAATTGTGCCGCTATTGCAGCCCATGAGCGAATTAATCAATTTTTTTCTTTTATTTTGCTCTTATGAACTAATTAATAATATTATTTAAAAATTGCATTACATTATGAAACCTTTTTTTTTAAAGTTATACTCAATGTTGCATGTGGAATGTGCGTCCTATTTGAAAAAGAACGAATTTTTCACGCCACTGTTGCTTTGAAGACTTTTGTGGTTTTCTTCAAACCGGAAACTGTTGAGGTTTGCCATTCAATATTTTTAATACAAATTTAAGATTTTCAACTAATTTATGTATGGGGTTCTAAAGTCAATGAAACATGAAAACGCTGCACAACGAAATTTGTTGTGTGTGGCCATTAAAGCCCACACTCAATGAAATTCGATACATTCTACAAGATTTATTCGCGTGTAAGTAGTTCTATGTTACATTTTAATGCATGCATAGTGATTGAGAGCTTTGATCTCTTAATCAGTGGTATTCCGGCTAAGGCGTTTACAGTAGAGGCAGCCGACAAAAATTATTTCATTTCAGACTGTGGGAGAAAATGACTAAGTATTCCTGTTTGAGTCGGTTATTTTATACCCTTTATTACAACATTCGGTTTATTAGTGACGTAGTTATTATTAATATTTGCTATTTATTATTGATTATTATCTGATTAATTGGGACAGTAAAAGGACAAAGATGTGTGTTCATTTGCCCGATTTACACTAGTCCTGAGTTCCCAACACCAATGTTTAAGCAGAAATCATTTTTATTTTATTTTATAATCGCCGTTAAACAGCCGACACAATTTTACTACTAATGTTTAACTCCGTAGCCTTGTAATTTTGAACCCAATCCAGAAGACACCGAAACTCCTGGATCAAGTATTGGGAGAAGTTTTGCCTTCGTGGAAGACTTTTTGATGGAGCTAACCAGCATTTCCGTTACATGGAGAGGAAAACCACGAGAACCTCCCACGGTTAGCCTGGCGGCAAGGGAACTCTAACCCATGATCCGTCTACCACTGAGGATATTTCATGTCAGCACTGTGGTCGGTACAAGCCGGATGCGTAGTTCGTATCGACTGGCATTCGAACCCGGTTCGCCTCATTGGAAGGCGAACGCTCTATCCCCTGAGTCATCGTGACTCAAGCAGAAATTCCCTTCACCATTTTAGGGTTGTGTGTCACTGCTCGGCATATATTAGCCTGATATTATTTTACTGTTAATTGCCATTGCCCGATATTTCCCATACCAACATTTTTCTTAATGTACTCTACATGCGAACTGTTGTAATAATAACAGTCGATTATTAACAATAACCCAATAAGTCTGTTTGGGTGAAATTTGTTTTTTTTAATGAAAAAATGATTTATTGAACTAAGAAAATGTTTTTCTTTGATCGGGCAACTTAGTAAAATTTTTTTAAAGAAAAGAAATTGCTCCTATAAGATAGTTATGGTAATCTATAGACCTACCGCCCAAAACAAGACAAACCTACAACACTTTTCACCTATTTTTGATTGATTCAAGTAAAAAAAAAGCGGATAATCTAAAACCATTTTTTTATTTTAAAATAATTACTTAGAATTATTTCAATCTCTGTCACAGTATTTTATTTAAAGTAACAATATGTCCAGAAGAAAAAATTTTCTTTTATGTAAAAATTTAAGAAATGTATTTGTAAATTTTTTTAAAATAAATTTTTATTATTTTTTGTATTGTATTAAAAACGTTGCTTTTTTCCTTCAGGTTGTATTAAGTAGTAATGTTACTATTGACAAATCCAACGAATATGACCTTCTGCACCCATGGCTTGGAACTGGTCTTCTTACCAGGTAATACTCGTTTAATAATGATATTTTAAACATATTTCGTATTTTAATTTCTTCATTTCCTCTTCAAGAAGATGGTTTTATTCTCTTGCGTCAGCGGGTATGTTAGAATAACTGTTAATAAAATTGATGATTCCATTAAAAATTTACTATAAATTTCCCTTACAAGCTCTTAATTTCATCCTATTATTTAATTATTAAGTTTATTTTCATTGCAAAAACTGTTTTATGGGACAGTATTTGTTTTATGAAAAAATAAATATTTAGAATACACCACATCTTTTGATTTGTTTTAAAATATTTTGTATGATGCAGCACGTTCATTTTATTTTTTGTCTCCTTGGAGTCTTGACAATTTCGGACAGAACCAGTTTGGACTTCTGACTTACAAGAAGTCTAGCACAAGAGGAAAGTTGAACTCAATCGATATTTTACCCATATACCAGTGATGGATGAAGGCTCAGCTGCTAATCCGTCATAATTTGTGACTTTTTTTCAATGATTGCAGTTCCAGAGAGGTAAAGGTAAAAGAGAGATGGGATACATTAAACTTAGATCTCATGATGCAAGAAAACCTGCTTTAGCTTGGATAAATTTGAAATAGTTTGTCACCTGGGGATGATGCTTAAAACCTGCTAAACTGACTCGAAGGTATAACTGAAAGAAGAGTAATTATATTGATACATTATTATTAAAGATAATAAATAGTTTGTCATCCAACATTTGCAGAAAGTTTTCTTCTTTATCATCATTTCTAGAATATTCCCCAAAAGGCGTTTTTTTGCTAACAGGTATCCCAAAATGATTGGATTTCCAATCATGAATATGACGGTATAATCAGCAAAAATATAAGCAGAAAAGTTAACTTCTTCTTTAACTTTGTTTCATATACTGCAATCACATTGACATCTCTAAATTCTGTAGCATCAATAAATTGTAGATATCGGCTATGGTAGCCATTGTAGTCGAACAGTTAATGTTACATTGTAAAATCTTTGAAGCTTGCGACTAGCGGATTCTCCTTTTTAAAATGAGCCAATTGTTCTCACTAATAGTCTGAACCTGTTACGCTAGTTAACATAAATAGATTTAGAGTTAAGTCCATAGAGGAAAAGAATATTACACTAACAAAATCTTAATCCTAAGGTAAAATCTATTAAAAAAAATTTGATTCCTTCGAATTGTGGGTCGTTTACCACCGTGTTTGTTTATATAGTTTTAAGTGTCATTCCTCGTAATCAATCAACACAAATACCAGATTTTGATTTTGTTAAATATGTTGTTCTTATATATATATATATATATATACTTATATATACAGAGAGAGAACCAAGAAGAAGAAAAACAAGGTATCACATTTTAGTTTCAGCATTTATTTCTTTTTTATTAATATCNATATATTATTTTCAGCACTGGCAAAAAGTGGCGTTATAGAAGAAAACTATTGACACCGACTTTTCACTTTCGAATATTAGAAGATTTTGTGCCTGTATTTTTCAATCAATCGCATACTCTTGTGTCACGTCTTCGTAAACTTGAGAAAGATTCATGGACTGATATTGTTCCTCTAATTACTTCTTGTACTCTAGATATTATTTGGGGTGAGTGTAATTAGAAAGAGGTATATTTTTTAAAAAGTATTACAATTTTAACCCTTTATCGTAACCTTTAAACTTCGAATTTTGAGTTTATTGTAGATTTTTGTTTTTTTGCTTAATATGTTTTATTTCGTATCGATATTTAGAAACTTTCAGTTATGGCAGAAATTAAAACTTCTTGTTACTAGTAGGAAAAATGGTTTTAAAAAAACACGTATATTATTGTTGTTTTAATACCAAAGTGCAAGTTAAAGACAAATATTTCTTAGAAATTTTGTAACATTAATTTAAATATGTCTTATGTAAAAGTTACCACACTCTTACAACATATATCAAGGTCTACTCTCGTAGGTTTAATTTACTTTTTAACAAAATTAAGTTCTTATTTCCCAATAATTACAATTTTTCTTTCAGAGACAGCTATGGGCGTAAGAATAAATGTGCAATCGGGTGGATGCAAAGAGTACGTTCAAGCAATTCATGAGTAAGTTTTTACCCATCGGTCGCTTAGTTTTTTATTTCCAAAGAAGGCCTTTCTTATGAGTTTCTTTCTTTGAGCTTAATTTTTGCTAACCCGCATTTGCGTTACATGGGAAGGAAAATCCAATAGTTAGCCTGACGACAAGGGGACTCTAACCCATGATCCGTCCACCACTGAGGAAGTCAGCGCTGTGATCGCTGCAAGCCGGGTGCAGAATTTGTATCAACCAGCCATCGCTGGGATTCAAACCCGGTTCACCTCATTGGAAGGCGAACGCTTTATCCCCTGAGCTATCACGGCTCCCCATAGTCAGTCAAATTTAACCAACTCAGAAATGTTACAATTCAAAGCAGACCAGACACTGTCGAATGAGTTTAAACCTGAGAAATCGATTCTTCATGTCACTGGGTTGTCTGGGTGTGTTCCAATTATTATTATTATTATTATTTTTTGGAGAAAAAATTATATTTTTGACCCGTAAACCGATTTGGGGTTTTCTCAGAAGAAAAAAAATTTTTTTTTCATATGCAGAAAAAACATATATGAAAAATGGAGTAATATTTGCAATTAAACTTTTTACAAAAGCTCTTCAGTATTTATTTTTTTTTTGCTGAGGACGTAGATAACCCAGATGACAATTAAACAAATCTAGATCTTCATGCCAGAAAACTGGATCAATCCTACCTTGGTATCCTTAAACAATAAGAATGCACTTACAAAATGCGATTTTTTTTTCTCATACGTTTCAGATTACATATAAATAAATATTAAAGGATCTAAGAAATAAGGTGTTTTCTGCTACAACTGCAACTTTTTATTAATGAATATCTATCTCTATTACATAAAAACACTTATATTTATATAGTTACGTTTAAGATTTTCTTTCATTATTTATAAATACATTTGTATCTTTTATAAGATCCCTTAAAAATATATCCATAACGGAACTAATTATTTTTTTTATCTATTTCTTGTCAAAGTAATGCCTTTTTTTCCATCCATAACTGTTAGTTGGTTTTAATGGAATTGACCTTATGGTGAATAATATCTCTGACATACAGGTTAATTACCCGTTCTCTTTTAAAATTCATTAACGCTTACACAAATACTTTTTAAAAAAATGTTTATTTATTGATTTTGTTTTCTTTCTAGAATCGGGGATATATTTTTATTCCGGATCCTGAGGCCTTGGCTTTACCCAGATTTCATTTTTAAAATTACACCATCTGGTAGACAGTTTTTCAAGAATGTTGACGTTATTCATCGCTTTACTAGAAAAGTAAGTAATTCTATCAACACACGGCATTTAATTTTAGAAATTACTTTTAAATAGTGTATTTAAAATTTTATTTTTTTGTGGTAGATTTTTCTTTTGATTGAAAAATGTATTTAATATACGATTTAAAATCGGTCATTAAATTTAGCTTTCGCATGCTACATACGGGAGAAATACGTCATGTATTTTTCCCATGATATTTTTTTCTCGCTTAATAAAAAGCGACGAAACAAAAGTCAATAGAGCTAACAGTTCAAAAGTTACAATTTTTTTAAGTACTATTTTGAAATTATTTCATTTAATTCAGCCATTGAAAATTACGTCGGAAAATATGTTTCAACTATCCTTATACTATATATAGATAATTCAGATGCTTAAATAAGTTCAAGTCTAAAATAATTAAAACTTTATTAAAATTTAAATTTTAATAGTTAAAAATCAGTGGAGCTTCTGATATATTGGTCCTATTTCCTCGTGTTTGGTCTCATTCAATTTTGCTTAAACACATAAGGGACAATGCCTTACTTGTTAGATTAAATGTTAGAACAATAAAGTTGTTCTTTTTGAATATAAAATCTTTATAGCTAGCAAACTATAGATCGTCTCGATATTGGTCTCTTTAATGCCTTATTTGACTAGTATGCAAACATCGGCTCCCCGCACGCCCTATTTATTAATTTCCGAAACGCGATGTCCTGTAACATTATACCCTTTATAAATAAAAGAGTATTTAACGGTTTATTTTTTATATTCATTTAATACTCAATTTTTACTGTACTGAACGTAATTAGTTAAGCATTTGCTTGTTCAGTAAAAGCATTCAATTTCGATTTATACTGATCAATATGAACTTTGTTATCCATAGGTTATAAGAGAAAAGAAATCTGAAATGGTAGAAAATAATCAACTATTAAAACACTTGGATGTGATTGCCAATGACAGTCCTTCAAATACAAAGTGCCGCAAAGCTTTTCTGGAATTACTGTTAGAGCATCACATTAAAGATCCATCATTTACTGAAGAAGACATTAGAGAGGAAGTAGACACTTTTATGTTTGAAGTAAGTTTTGTAATACAGTATTGTAAATGATTATGAAAGTATTTGAATATTTATTCAAAGCTATACTGGAATTAATTGATCACGAACTGTTACAGATTCAATTAAACGTTTGGCCATATATGGAAGGTCAAGAAACTAGTAGGTTTAAACTGCTGTGTTATTCTTTCTGGAGCAGTCTGATAAAGTGTCATCATATACTTTACTAATCTCACTTTTAGAATGCAATTAATCAACTTTAGTTCACATTTGAATCACATTAATACAGGCTTTTGTTCCTCTTTAAAAATAAATTTCAAGTTTAATTCATAACAAGGCGCTGTTACACCCATAACTGATAACATATAAGTAACTGTAAGCGATCTTAATCTTTTTTAGCCATTCGAATGAGAAATCCTTACATTCTCCGTGGTGACAATCGTCGTAACTCTAAAAATCTCATTTTACAGTGCAGAAAAAATAAAGTTAACTCACCTACATTGTAAATTAGTTATAATAATTCAGAACATTTTAATGCAATATAAATTATTTCATTTCTATCTGTTTTTCGACAGAGGTATTTGCCATTTAGTATTTTTTATTGTAACATATACACCGAAGAGCCATTACATTACGACCACCCTGCTAATAACATGTAGGACCACCTTTAGCCCTCAAAACTGCTAGCACCCGCCGTAGCATTGATTCCACAAGGTGCTGATAGGTAGCCTGAGGTATCTGGTACCAAGCGCTCACCAACTGGTCCTGCAATTCCCTCACATTGCGAGGGGGTAGCGTGGCAGCACGAATTTGGTTTTCCAAGTAGGACCACAAATGCTCTATTGGATTAAGGTCAGGTGAATTTGGGGGCCAAGACATGACTTGAAAGTCACTGGAATGTTCCTCGAACCAATCCATGACGATTCGACCCTTATGACATGGTGCATTATCCTGTTGGTAAACACCATCCCCCGCAGGAAAAACTGTTGCCATGAATGGGTGAACCTGGTCTGCAACTATGTTCAAGTAGCTTACAGACGTCAAGGAGTGTTTATGAGGATTATGGGTCCTAATGTGCCCCATAAAAACATTGTTCCTGGGCGAGAAACCATGAAAATCTGGGCGAGCCCATTGTTATAGATGGAGGGTGGTCATAGTGTAATGGCTCTTCGGTGTATTTCCACTTAAAAATGTATACGTAAAGATTGTGGCGCAATAGTTTGTGGCAATCAATTATATTTTACTCATTCCTAAAATAAACCGAGGGAAAAAAACTGTTATACTACTTTTTTTTTCCGTGAGAGATACAATCTTAAAATACTTTTAGTAGTAGAGGTGTCTGGTAGTCAATATATACTAAAAAGCAATTTCTTAAATGATCAAGACGACACTGATTGCATTTTTGAAATTTGTTATTTTCGGTAAAATACGGTAATATACCGATAGGTGGTAATTTTCAGAATCTGATTTTAAAAACCCATTCTTTTTACCAGAATTACTTTTGTATCATTTTTAATCCCGAAGTCAAGCATCCCTGGCTGCGGTTGTGTGGTGGTGGGTGACCACTTGGATCAGTCTGCTTAGAGACCGACCGTGGGCGGTATTGGTCCTCGTTAAACTGTTCTACCGTAAAGTGCTCGACTTTGCGAGCAGGTCGTTAGGCTACCGAAGCGAGGGTGCAATTCCCTCTGCAGAGGATCAAATTTAAGATGGCATGTCTTCGGATCATCCTCAGGGATGTTTTCCAGACCGTCGCCAGTAACTCATTGTGCAGCTCTAGTGTGATGTAAATTAACTACAAAAGCAAGATCTACCAGTCTACAAAAATTTTTATTAAATAGATGAGTACATTACAAGGTAAATTTTGATCTTTTAATTCTTAGTTAATTTTATTTATTTATGTTATGGACCAATTTTATGTTGGATCCTTTTCAAAGTTGCTTGAAAGAAACATCTAACATAAAGTTGGTTGTTTCTAAAGTATTTTATTTTTGTTTTTAAAGCTTGGCTCATGCTTTAGTCATAAAATACCATTAAAAAAGTAAACGGCATACAACAAAGCCACCATCAACAGAAAGCATTATTTATTTTTAAAAATTTGAAATCAGAAATGACAAACTCAAATTTAAGTCTTAAACTGTTACCACATTAAACATCACAAATTTATAGATAAAAATTTTTTTAAATAGTGACAAATATGAAAATAAGCGTCTAATATATAACAATAATAATAATCATTGTTGTGAAAACAAAAAAAAAGGCTAGGATTGGTAGCTTTTAGTGATAAAATAAAATATAATATTTCCATCATATTAAATTTTATTATTCTGTATATGATATTTGCTTTGAAACATTTAAAAAAAAGGAAACTTTTTAGGATCAGAAATTTAGTTTTAAAATTTATTTTTAGGGTCATGATACAACAGCTATGGCCATTTCTTGGGCATTATATTTCGTTGGATTAGATAAACACGTACAGGAAAAAATACACGAAGAATTAGATGGAATATTTGAAGGTGATAATGAAAGAGATATTGATCGTGATGACTTAATGCGTATGAAGTACTTGGAATGTATCATTAAGGTATAATTTAATTTCAAGACTTTAATATCGAAATATTGCAATTTCTAAAAAAGAAATTTGATTTTTTTTAATTTTTTTTTATTTATTTATTTATTTATTTTTTTGCTATAGGAGACTCTTAGATTATATCCTTCAGTGCCTTTCATAGCTAGAGAAGTTGGAGAAAGCTTCAAAGTGTGTAAGTAAAAAAAATAATAATACCGATCTTCCAAGGTACAACTATGTACAGTCCGCAAAAAAAAAAAACGAATCACCCTGAATAACTTTCGTTCTAATGATCGGATTTTCACGAACTAAGTGTCAATCTTAATGGTTCCTGGGGGTGACCTCAAATATGCTAATTAATTAGTGCTAACTATTAATTAAGTTACGAAATCAGACACAAAAACG